GAAAATATTTGGGTGTTCAAATGGGAAATCCACGACGGATTGATGAAATAGTGTTCTCTGAAGGTAACAAGAGGAGGTGGTTTTGGAGGAAGAATGTATGACATGGTCTTAGTCTACATGAAAGACGGATGTGGTCAAGGAAGGGAAAGAAAAAGAAGAAAGGAAAGTTAGCCGGGGGTAGGCGGGAGCGATTGGAGAAGCCTAAGTGGACGTCATGTCCCAAGCCCTGTGTTTAGTTTGACCACGCTGCGCATGCCGGGTTATTTCGCTGCGTGCCCTGCAGACGCCGTCGGTGTCGGGTCCATTAGCACCCCGTTCTCGCGTGGCCGCGGCATCGTGACGCACTCGCCGTCCTCGTGCACGGTGTGTTTCTCCTTTTCCCGGCGTCCGGTCGGCTCTCGACCCCGCGCTATCGTCCCCGTACTAGACCCCCCCCACTTTCTCCCTCCTTTTCTTCTTTTGGGGGCACGGTCGCCTGCACGCCTTCCTTGTTGAGCGAACCCCTCTCCTCTCATCTCCTTATCCTCTCTGCCGCTCGCGTAGGGAGCGCACCATGGCCGACTTTATCTCCACAGCATGAACCGTCTGTGCATCCCATTCACGTCGCCTCCACTTCTAGTGTGTTGCGCCCCACCTCCGTTCGCCACTATAAGATGCCATTGGTCCTTGCTCTTCTTCTTCATCCCTATTCCCCTCGCATTCGGAGCAGAGCTACAAGATCCAGCCATCATCCGAAGAACTAGATCGTCAGTTAGAGGAATGGTGTAATATGAGAAGAAAGGATCTGGTTTTTGAAGAAGTTCAAGTCTACCGTTGGTTAGTTCGGTCTTAGGGTTCACGATGTTTAACTTCTCAGTCTTCTGTTTCTGGATCTGTTGGTCATACGCCATGTTTTAGATAATCATTATCTTGTTGTTTCTCCATTGCCCTCGTCTATCTTGACTTCTAAATTAAGTCTCGGTTGGATTAGGTTGCTCTTAACCGTGCATCTCTAAACCCCCGTGTGGTCTAGTATTCGAAGTCGTGTAATCTTTTGTGTAATCTCTGATCTACGAATGTAATCGTGTTTCCCCTCTTCCGATTCTTGCTTCGAATCTCGGGACGAGATTCTTTTTAGGGGGGTTGGTTGTAACACCCCTGGTGTTACGAGCTTGCTTAGCACCGAGGTTTAGACCTAAGAGAATTTACCGATATGATTTTCTCGGATTTTAAAATTTAACTTATGTTTAAAAGTGTCAATTTTGGCGAATTATATTGAACAACGGGTTAATTAGTTCCTAGATGTTTTATTTCTATGAGTTAGTATGGCGTATGGACTAGTGCTTAAAAATGTCTGATAGCAAATAAATAGCGAATGACTTATTTATTTGATTAGGCATGAAAAACAATTTTTATAAACGAAAATTTGTTGAAAGTAAAAATTTGCTAAATAATAAAACCTTAGAGCTTTAGTTATGCTTGTAAATGCATAAAGTTGTTTTAGAAATTGAAATTTTGGAAATTAAAATAATATAAAATATAAACAGGAAAAATCGTATCATCAGTAAGATATGAACATCATGAATATGTTGGTATGCTTGTTCGAGTGCCAATGTGATGTTAGTTTTAAAATAATAACGAAAGTGCCGCTGGCCACTCAGCGGATCTACCTCGCCGGTACGACGCACGCGTTATGAGATAGGACCGAGCTTGTTGGCCTTGCCGGCTTCTTGCTTCCCCTCCCTCTGCTGGTCTTGCCACGTTTGCCTGGTGGTCATCTCGTGCATTCACATGCCTCGTCTCAGCCCGGTTGGCACATGTCCTGCTTTATCCTTGTGGCAGCGGTTTGTGGAGAAGAGCTTTTGTTAATTTTGTTAATGCAGCAGAGCCTGCATCCTGAACAAGTCCACCGCGCAAGGACATCAGAAAGGGAGCACATGGCTCCACTCCTACGCTCGTCGTGTCCACTCCCTTTCCTGTGCGCGCACAGGCACGCCTCTGCCGGCCACGCTGTGTCGTCCCGTCCTGCCCCCGCGTCCGTGCTCTGGCGCGCGTACGACGTTTCCTCCCTCACGCTGCTTCCCCTCTCTTTCTTTTTCTGCTGCCGAGGAGGATGCGCCCCAGCTCCTGCTCGCCCTCCCCACTCCGCTGCCCCTCCCGAGTGTTGCCTCGCTGTCATCCGCCCCAGCGCCTGCTCCTTCGCCCTCCACTCCGTCGCCGTCGCCGCGCCGCGTTTCCCGTGCGGCCGCGCCCGTGGCTCGCGGCTCCGGGCGACCTCCAGCGCGGGCTCGGCGAGGTCAGCCGGCTCATCCGCGCCTCGCAGCACCCCGCTGTAAGCGGCCATTTGTTCCGGCCAGGTTTCAGTGTGTCGCCTTCCCTACCGCGGCCATGCGTGGCCGCCGTGCCGTGCCCCGCCCCGGCCCGCGCTGGGCCTGCGGCTCCACAGCGCTGTCTTTCCGAGCCTCCTCCCATTGCCGTGCCGCGCCGTCGTGCCAAGCCGCGACCCGCACGATGCCGCCATCACCGAGAGCCCAGCATGCACTTCGGCGGTCGTCACCGGCGAGCGCAACCACGACGCCTTCCCGTGCACGCTCTGCCCGTGTCGAGCCTCGTCGCTGTCGACGACCTCACGGTCAGATTCGGCCGCCGGCCGGTGCCTCTGCCTTGCGATGCTCTGTTTTGAGGTAGAGGAGGGACCCTAACGCAAATAGGATTCTTTACCGTGTTCATTTTCAGCAATGCTGCACAGAGGATTCGATTTGATTCTTTTTTATCTTCCTTGCTTTCTCACGAAGTTTCCGTCCTTAGCTGGACACAAGCCGTGGAACCAACTGTGACCTCAAAACAGCTAGAGCATTGTCACATTGTCTGCATGTTTATTTGAGTTCAAGCACGTCTTATTGGAAGTAAATATCTCAAATCTCTCACCCAGAGATACAGTACGCTTTTGAGTTCAACTCTTGCAAGCAACGTATTAAATTTGAAGACGTCCAAATAATGCATCAATTAAAACAATGGTCGGCATCAAGGTCTGAAAAGCAAGATTCGAACAGATAAGGATTTTGATCACATTCAATGCAAGTTAAAAAAATCTGGAATGCCATTAAAATACAATTCTTTGCTGGGTAGTTTTGACTTTATTAGCACCAATATACTTTTATATAGCAGCTACTTGCAAATGGAACCGAATTCAACCCTCTGCTGTTTCAAATCTTATCTGCTCTTTGCTTCCCAGAACAGCGATGCCACCTCTCTGCTTAAAACGTCTCTTCATCAGCTAACTTAATTCAAACTTCTTGCACAACTTGCATGAAATTTGGTCGAATCCTTAGCTGCTTGGGATCTCGCTTTCAGTGCATGATGCAACTCGTTGCTTAAATAGATGCATCATTGCGCAGCTTCAAATCAATAGGTTTCTTGTAAGAGTTGAGTTGAGATATTTTTTTGGACAACATGCATTGAATTTGATCAAATCCTTATCTTTTCGAATCTTGCTTTCAGACCTTGATGTCAACTCATTGCCTAAATTGATGCGTTATTGCACGTCTTCAAGTTGAATACGCTTGCTTGTTAGAGTTGAATTCAAATTTGTAGCACAACTTGCATTGAATGTGATCAAAATCCTTATCTGTTCGAATCTTGCTTTTCAGACCTTGATGCCAACCATTGTTTAAATTGATGCGTTATTGGACGTCTTCAAATTTAATACGTTGCTTGCAAGAGTTGAACTCAAAAGCGTACTACATCTCTGGACTAGTGAGAGATTTGAGATATTTACTTCCAGTAAGACGTGCTTGAATTCAAATAAACATGCAGACAATGAGACAAAAGCTCTAGCTGTTTTGAGTTCACAATTGGTTCCACGGCTTGTGTACAGCTAAGGATGGAAACTTCGTGAGAAAGCTAAAAAAGAATCAAATCGAATCCTCTGTGCAGCATTGCTGAAAATCTACCGAAGAAAGAAGAAACATGTTAACAAAAATATGAAAAAAAAAATCTCCTTGCAAAAATAAAGCGCCCACCGTGGGGCTCGAACCCACGACCACAAGGTTAAGAGCCTTGCGCTCTACCGACTGAGCTAGACGGGCTTGGTTCTTTAGTTTGTATTAGAAACTACAAATTACTGTACATATTTTTCCTAAATAAAATCTTTAGCATGGTAGTGCCGCTTCCTAATCTGACTTTGATCAAATATGCTACTTCACGAGAATGGAGATACTACGCGGTGGAAACAACTGGATCCTGCTATACCCCTTTTTTTTTTCTCTCCGTATTTCAGACGTTTCACCTGAACTTTATTCGTCTTTCAGACAAATGGCAATTGCAGAACTTTTGCTTAAAAGGAAGCACATTTGTGCACACATCGTTTGAAGCCATAATGATCTGGTGCGATTGTGCGAATAATATGATCCTGTACCTCCTGCACCCTCCTCTTCAACTTTTCAAACATTCAGCTTGAATTTCACAGAACCTCTGCAGCTAAAAAAGCATTCCAGATTACACATCAAAGAAAAAAAAAACTCTTTGCCTATTAAGCCAAGAAGATTGCAAGTACAGATCTATAACTATATATGACGATCCACTGAAAAGATGCGCGCAGTCACACATATATAACAGATTAACAGAGTAGTGTTTTTCACATTCAGAATTGTGCCTTCCACATATTCATGAATAGAGGACAAACACCAGAATTTGTATAAGAGTCACGAGCTTAGATATGTACCAGTATTGAGTAATAAAAACTCGTGACAGTTTGGTTGAACTTAACAGGTATATAATGCTATCTATTTCCTGTCTATTGTTTACCTCCTGTTTCTGACTTTCTATGCATGGCTAACATCTACTACATTTGACAGTTGCTAGAATAGCCAGTCTGGTAAAATTATCTACACAGTTACTGTTGCACAATGCGAGACAAGCGATCCATCTAGCTAGTACCTTTCTTCAGATAGCATGTTACTGTTCAGCCTTATGATCAAATTACTCCAAAGCTCAAGCCACCCAAAAAAAGATCTGGATAGTCATTCATCAATTGATTCTAACACTATCTGAATGACAACATCATCCAGCAGGTCCTCCATCAGATCCTCCATGTCCAACGCGGTGCACTCCGCGTCATATACCAGGTTCATCCAGCTGTCCTTCCTCATAAGATCATGTGCCACAATGTCCTCCACTGTCTGGCCTTCCTTCCAATGCAGGCTCAGGTAGCAGCTCACCTTCGCCCACACCTCCTCAAGGACATGATACCCCATGGGAATGGGTCTGGTTCGCAGGTCGAAGCGTGAGTGCCATGGGCCGATGACAAGCGAAGAGTCATAGATGTCCAGCAGGACCTCGTTGATGAGATCAAACAGGAGCATGCGCCTGACAATACTGTGCGGCTCATCGCTTGCCATGCTGAGCTCCTGACATGAGCATTCTGGCCCCGTTCGGCTTGCTCAAACTTGGCTGAATTGGCTGGAAAATATTGTTCTGGCTGAATTGTTGTGAGAGAAAAACACTGTTCCAACTGAAAAAACAAGTTGGATAGTGCGGATTATAAGGTAAGTCGAACGGGGCCATGCCTCATCAAAGACCACAGGGCTGACTGGCTGATTGGATGCGTACCAGTCGACATCGCCGCAGCTGAATCCTGATTTCTTGAGGATATCCTTGACATACTGGAAATCAGCCTCGTTCTTGTCACTGACATAAATGTGCAAGGGTTCCACAGCACCTTGTTCAGAAAACTCGTGTATGAAGCGAAAATCCGAATCCAAAGCATCGTTAGTTTTGGGCTGCCCTGACTTGACTAGCCACTCTTCATCTTCAAGATCAACATCCTTGGCACCAGACAGTTGTGTCACCTTAACTAACCACTCTTCATCCTCACGATCAATACCATTCATGACACCAGAGTGCTTCAGTGGTGTGACCAGCCATTCTTCATCATTGAAATTGGCAGCATATGCTCCTGCAGACAGTGGTGGCTTGACTAACCAGTCCTCGTCCTCAAGCTGCAAGTTTTCGAATGGTTGCTCTGAATCTAAAAATTGTATTAAGAAAAGAAAAGTGTCACAAGGATTGAAGTACTAGAAAACACATACAAGCAATGGGTTTTAGAGTTTCAGCATAGTGCAGAAAATACAATTAGTAATGGAAAAGGCTGCAATTTGATAGGAAAAGAAGATATGCTTGACAAAAGTAACTAGTCTGCTTCTGAATGGGGGAAAAAATCATGAACTTTTACTAGTAATTTTTGCATTTTATAGTAAACGAAGAGTTCAAATATAATCCACCTGCTATAGAACACTCTGTGAAACTACGATACGGTCTTGAAAGAATGACCGATCGAAGGAAGGTAAACTATTAATGCGGCGGTGGGAGAAAGACCGGCCAAGAGAAGACAGACTTGGACTTCGAAGGATCCTCCGGAAATCCTCTTCCAAGAAGCCTATGAAAGCAATTTGTGCAAAAAAATGTGACAATATTGTAAGTCTTCTAATAGAAAAACTGTGTTAATCTTATCTTTCTTTTGTCATCTTACCTCCACAATTTAATTCAATGTGAATATTTTCTGATTGTTCTGTGATATCATCAGGATAGAAATTTCCTTCTGCACAGATAATGAAGGCATCAGTTCCATGTGAAGAAAAGTGATCAGATTCCACATTGCAAGTCTTGGACCCAATCCGAGAAGCTGAAACTTCAGGCAGGGCCTCTTGGTGAGATGAACATAACCGCATCTCTGGAAGAGAAGTTATTCTTTTGAGGCCCATTGGCATCTTCTTATCATTTAAGCTTGCACAGCCTTCCATTGTTATGTTTAATCTTTCTGGAGAAATTCTTGAGTCCCTCGAGATTGACTCATAAAGTGTTGAATACTTGTCTACTGATTCTGCAATAGAATATGATCTTCGCATTTGTTTCTCCTCCTGGACAAACTTCTCCGTGGAGGAGCCCCTAGTCAATCCAGACATTTTTTGGCCATATGGCAGTTTGTGGAAAACTCCATCCTTGGTAATCCGAGCAAGCTCCTTCCGGTTCTCCCTTACGACCAATGTTTTCAAGTCGTCCAGTCGAACCTAGTCGCCATGGGACCGACTAGGACGATTAATCACGATTAATCGCGATTAATCAGACGACTTGTACAAGTCGACGGTACCCCTAATCAGTCAGCAGGGACCGATTAGGACGATTAATCATGATTAATCGCGATTAATCGGACGACTTGAAAACATTACGACATCTTTGATCTTTCTACTGATAGCTTTAAAATGGTTTGAAGCTGTTCCAGCTTTCTTCAGGCTCCTTGATTCTGCAAGAGAAACTGCGGAGCTGTCAACACCAGTAGGCATTCTTGTACTAATGACTTTTGCAGCTTCCAGGTCAGCGGTAGGTCTCGAGGGTGACCTTTGGATTTCTGACCTCCTGCTTTTCTCATTGTCACTCCGATCAAATATAGGGTTACGTTTCCCTGATGACCCTCCTGGTCTTGGAAATGATTCCAATTTGTTCAGTGGTACAGAACCACTGGATGAAGCTTCTTGCCCTTTGCTGTTCAGGTGGTACTAGTAATGAAGGATCATGAAGAATCTTCAGAAATAGTTCCCTATGTGCATTAAACAATTCAAGAAAATCCAAGAACTCCTTCGAGTGATGTGTTGCAGCATCACGAGTTTTTTTGTGTAGAGGAAGCCTCACTCTCACCAGTGAGATTTCCAGGTGCTGTCTCACAGGGTGCCTCCAGATCTATGCTATCTTTGCCATCCATGCTGCCACAAGCCCTGGAGGGCTCTTGCACATTGGGATGTTGTGGAATCTCATGTGACAGTGGTGGTGGTTCACTGTGAGAAGAATCCATCTCAATGGAGCCCGAGTTGTTCATTGCATGATAATGTGCAGCTAACTCATCAGGAACCTCATAATCAAAGCATTTCGAGTGATGGATTGATCTGGAGCGCAGAAGACGTGATGAGGATGGGGAGCTGGCTGGCGAGCTGCTCTTCTTTTTGTCTTTCCCGGGTGTTTTTTTCTTGAACATGAGTGTCCTCCATATGAACATGTGGGACTTACCAGTTTGAGAGTCACTATTAGTTTCCTTCTGCAACTGAACACCACGAGTAGAGTTAGAAAAAAAAAATTGAGAGGTGCATTAACACTTGACTGGAACTACATCAATAACTTGAAATATACATGTAAAGAGTCCTAGTGATTTAGCATTGATAACTAGAAAATTATCACCAAAGGTTGCAAAGCTCTCATAGATTGCAAACATGGCAATTTTCATCACTATAGTTTGTTGGTTGTGCCATTATATGAATGATATAGTAAGATCCATCACTTCAATATACCAGTAGAAATCTATGAGGCTTCTGTGGTTACCATAAAAGAAATGCAGTTTATGCACCTACCGGGATATTTTCATCTTTTTCACTGCTAGTTTTGGGCTTTGGGACTTTCACTCCTACAACAAATAGAAAAATGTGGTGAGCACACTACAATTTTAGATGACCAAATAAAGAGACCTGCCCTTGCTATGGTCAGCTTTCAGATAAAAACAGCAAAGATAAATCTAGGGCAATAAGACCAAGATCCAATTCATAACCAGGGAAAAAGCATGGCACAGACAATCCTGTGGAAATAATAAAAGGCATCACCAAAAAATGCAAAACTGAAAGTAGAAATATGTAAAACCTTACTACTTCCTTCGCTGTGTTTTTGGTAGGCAATCATCTTCGGCATTTGCAGCCGTTGGTTGAGGGCAAGGAAGTTGAACAGGCCTTCAAGGCAGCCTGTGCTCTTCGTATCAAACCGCTTGCTCTCAGCCATTGCTCCAGCAAACCTAGCATCAGTGTAGAAAGGGCAAGATTCAGAACACCCTAAAAGTCAACCTCAATATATTGGGATACCCAGACCCATTTCCAATATGTATAAAAGGCTCAGTACTGCAGATGCTCCAGATATCCACTTTTCTCAAAAATATAGGTGCATCAATTAAGCGCTAATTTTTATTTAACCCAGCAAGAGAATGTATGTTCTAATTATGTGAATCAAATACAAAAGTTTGACATACAAGTTCCACCTAGGGCACATGTCCCATTTGTGGTTTACATTTGATAACTCAACTGCTAATTTGGGAAGATATGGTAAATTTGCAATGAAGAATTTGTGTTTTAAATAAAATACACAAGTATTTCAGGGTGGGGTTGATTTGTGCTTGCACCCTCGGCTAACCGGCGCAGCTCGCACCGAGCTTGCTGCCCTTCTTTCCTCCTTGCAGGACATCCGCCTCGATGATTCCAGTGATGTGCGCCTGATGCTGCTGACCGGCAAGCGTTTCAACACCAAAGATGCCTATGCTGCACTCAAGTCGCCCATGGAGTATGAAGACCAGCACAGCAAATTCATATGGAGCTCGGCTGTCCCCATCAAGGTCAAAGTGTTCGCGTGGCTTTACTTCAAAGATAGATTAAGCTCTCGGTCCAACCTCTACCGAAAACATGTGCTAAGGGATGACATTTGTGAGAGATGCTCAAATACCACTGAAGACAGACACCATATCTTCTTCGGTTGCTCTTCGATCTCGTCAATTTGGCAACGCCTGGGAATCCCTACTGCTGCCTCCGTATCTGACGATGACCTATGGAGTCTAAGCAAACCCCCCCCCCCCCCACACACACACACGGGCTTGATATCTTATGGCGTCTTTGGGACGCTCGGAATGGCGCAATCTTCAGGCACGAGCGCTCTTCTGTCACTCGGATTATTGCCCGGGTGATAGACGACCTCACAATTTGGAAGAAACGTTTCAGACTGAAGAAGGCAGGCAGCCCTGATGGCGTTCAGGAATGGATACTGTATCTTCAGAGCTGTAGAAATTCAATCTCTGTAACTGATATCTCTGTGTAGCTGTTGGAAGTCTTACTCAAAAAAAAAAAAATACACAAGTAGTTTTTAGGGAAAACCAACCACGAACTGTCACTGATAATTCCCGTACCAAGATCATTAACATTTCAACTAGAAGAAAAATCAGACATTCACAAATCGAACACAACCATGAATTGCGGCTGAAAGATATCAGGACTAATCTTCATCTTGCCAAGGGTTTGTCATGTATGGCCCTTTTTTTTTGTTGTGGGGAGGACAATGCAATTTCATCCCTGCCATCGAAATGGGCATGGCACGTTTCTACTCAGGCTCAGCATCATCCACCAAGTCGCAGTTCGGCAAGGATCACATAATCAACAATTCATGTAAACGCAATTGCAATACTCCCCCAAATCCCTAAACACCAATATTAAAATCCTAACCAAACAACCGCGCGGCGAGACAAGGATTGGGAAGAGAATAAGCGAGACATCATACCGAGGAAGAAGCGAAAGATCGCTCTTTTCGTGGGCTGCGCATGCGGAGAAGGGAAATGGAGCTCCTCCCCTCCATGGGCTAATGGCTATTTCCTTTCTCTTTGTTTCTCTCTCCTACCCTAGCGAAACAAACCAAACTGTGCGAGGCAGAGAGGAATGCGCTCCTCCTCTCTCCCTCTCAGGTGCGCGCTCTAGCTTTTAAAGTCGCCTTCAAAGATAGTCCGCGAACAACTACTTTACGCTTTGCAGCACAGGGAAGAATGGCCTTGATTTTTTTTTTCTCAAAAACCAAACCTTGTGGACAGACCCATACAAGCCGTTTTTTTTATTTTAGCCGAAAAAACTAAAATATTAAAAGAACATGTCTCAAACTAATTTTTTAAAAAATAGCCTTTTTCAGTCAAGCCAAAAGATGTGGTACAACCGGTAACCTTGATCACGTATTAGTGTGATTAATAATGTGACACATTTTGTGTCCGTTGGTCTCATCTATTTTGATTTTTAGTCTTTTCTTTTCTCTATCAAAACAAAGGACCTATGTATGTCTAATTTTTTTTTCAAAATTTTCAAGTAGGTACTACAAGATAAACACGGCACATTTTGCTTGTCTCGTATCATAACTCTTGTACGGTTGAAATTAAAATTCTTTCTATAATGTTATATTTGAGTCTTAGGTTAACTTGTTTAACCTCAAGATGGACTCCAGAAATCTAGCAAAATTATATAAATTTATAGTTCGGAAAGTAGTATTTTGACATGGAATTTCTCATCATACATATTTAGATGTGTCGGTGTTTTGTTGACCGACTAGTGAATTTATACGAATGTCGTGATGCTCTAAGAAGACGATGGTAGCATCTAAAAGAAATGAAGAGTTATACTGGTTCAGGCCAGAACCCTACGTCTAGTCTAAGAGATGATCGAGTGCGTGTTCCTCGCTTGAATGCTCTGAAGTTCTTACAATGAGAGTGTAAGAATGGTGGAAGAGGTAGGAGAGCTAGAGCTAGAAGACGGGCTGCCCAAAGGAAAGCTTCGAGAGCCCAGAAAGTGTGTCGATGATCCTTGGAAGGGTGCCTTGGCTGCCCTTGTGAGGGACCCACCGCGTTAATTCATCTAAAACGAGTGTCATCCACTTGACCAACTCAATTTAAGCAAAGCAACATCGCGAGGCCCCCAGGAGCGCACTAGGCAACTCCTCTTTAGGATCAGGTTGAGTATCATAACACGATAGCCACCACAACTCAAGATTACATCTTATCATCGGAGCACATAATAATTCAACGGAAAACATATATTACAAGTCTTATTGAATTTAACAAATTGATTATACAACATTAAAGAAGACATTGATTCAATGCAATCATATGTAGTGAAGACCAACTACTATCTTACCAACTACAACTACAACTACGTTATGACATATACTCTTACTAATAACGGGTAGTCACCTTGCCCATGGGCGTCACTATAGTAGCTTGGACAGCTCCTGCCATTCACCACTTTAGCACCAACGACGGAGTGAGATGGCCGCCAATGTTTTTTACCTGCAAAACAACTTAACGGCTCTAATTACTTAGTGAGTAGCTCTGAATCAATATTAAGTTGTTAATCATATTCAAATGATATGCATACTCATAATGAGACAAGTAATAAGTATCCAAAGTAGGGTTCATAATAGTGGGGTGTCTGCCTGTTGGAAGAGCAAGGTTCCCTGAGCTTGGAACATCTCTTGGCATCTCTCCGATACCGTGTACCTATATGTATGCACATGTATAAGTTTCTTATGTATGAGAGATGAGAGAAGCTTGTGTGGTTCAACTCCTATGAGTGCAAGGTGCATCAAGTTTCATGATCCCTAGACACCTAGAGAATAAGTTGTCTATTTATTAGACTAAAAATGTATTATGTTAGGTCAATATTAAAATATACTTTTTGATGTCAAGATCATGTCTAAATGATAGAGAATATCCTAAAGAACACAACAAAACTTGTTTCACAATTTTTGTAGTTTAAATGCATCTTCTATGACCTTTACAAGTGGGGGCTGTGCTGCTATGGTACAGCAGACAATCCGCGAGCGGCGGACAGTCCACCAGGGATGAACGCGTGCGCCAGAGTGTTTCGCTAGGCCGAACACTGGCGCCGACTGTAACAGAGCCGACCAATTATACGAGATTAAGTAAGAAGATCTTCCGCCGAAGCAGATAATTTAGCATACTTAAACCCGTATAACCCGGTAGTCCGTGAAACCACGAAGGATTTCAAACCAATCGACATACAAACCAAGACCGTACAAGTTTAGCAAGTACCGTCACACGTTACATAAAGTTCGCAATGACAGTTAATACATCAGAGTTTGGAACATAAAGTTATTACATACCAAGCTCGAACTGAAATAGCGGAAGCAAATAGTTTTAAAGCCACACACACACTTTGGATTGAGATACAGTGCCAGTAGGTAGTCATCTCCAACAAAAGCATCAGATGAGAAATACAGAGTGACCATTTGCCCTTGGACCTAGTTGTCACCCATCGCCAGATACAGGCAGTTAATGCAATAGCCGTAGTACATTTGACCATCTGCAACAACAATGAGAACAACGCCCTGAGTACGAGAAGGTCCTCAGCTAGACTTACCCGACTTAAACCAAAATAAAACGACACCAAGGATTATGCAAGACTTTCTTTAGTGGGCTAGCTAACTCTTTTGCGAAAGCATAAGTTATCATGAATAAACCATTTTAAGTACTTTGCATCATCTTTATTATAACCTACCCATTTAGGTAAGCACCTATACTATAGCAATCACATGATTAACCAATAACATCCAATTACCAATTTAGCTTAGCATAACTCACATCATCCAGATAACCATCATTGTTCCATAGTAATTACTACGATGCCGTAGCTCGAGTCAAGTGCTCACTATCCAGGAGCGATGGCGATTCGAATCGATTTCTAACCAGCTGGTGATTTATTCCTCACACAAACCATGCTTCCCCTGCCAGGGTAACTTAGATCACAAATGACACTTTTCAGGTAGCCGCGGGATAATCTGGAGCCGCAGTACCCAGGGACCGCCCGACTGCCAGGAATCAAGTCACACCTGCCCTTGGGCTCACTCTTCGTGCCCCTATCATACCCCCATCAGCACCAATACGCGCACTCGTGTAGATCCTGGCCCGAATAGTGCCACTAGCTTCGCGGTCGAAAGGTACTTTATTCGGCCAGCTAAATGTGAGGCATGCGTTCAACATGACAACAGGGACGAGCAACGATCGGTCCTTAATCGACACAGATGGAAACTAACAGCTCCCCAGAACCCTGTCTGGTTGCCTCCAACTATTCCGTCCGGTCTCCAATTTTCCATCACATATGGTTAATTCCAGGATATCATTCTTTCCATAACCAATCTCTTCCAGTAACCACCTATAATGTAGGTGACTGGGTATCACCGATCGCTAC